AGACAGATAGAGAGCCATTGGAGAGGAGAAATGCACCACTTATCTACAAGTAATGTGTTGATAGACACCACTTTCCTGCAGGGATATAGGGCTCAGATTAGGTTTTCCAGCTGTTTAGATACCTCAGAAGAGGAAATGAGGTCAAATATGTTTTATTAAGTGTTAAAATTAACACAATCCAATGCATCTTCTATATGCAAGAGGCTAATCTACACATATTTACTAATTATGGATATGAGAGTCTTTAATGAGTGTTAAGGACTGTATCCAGTCAACAAAAACACTTCAAGGTGGAGCCATGGGATACGGCCTGTCAGCACACCTATAGATAGACCGTTCCTGCGATGTAATGTCAAAGTGTTGGGTGTATTTAACATTATCAGTAAATTATAGTATATATATATATATGTGTTAAATGATTTACTATAGTGTATAATATGCAGTTAGTCGTGTTTGCTACTGTTGCTCATACTTACAAAAACAAAACAAAAAATCCTATAGATTTGCATTGAGCGAGCCATATTTATCTCAACTTGGTGGTGGGATATTTGTTCTGGGGTCACCTAGCAACCACAAAGCAACACAAGCAAGACCATGTATCATTGCAACATCCTAGGCATGTTTTTCTACTTAAGAAAATCTAGCAATGCATCTTTACATGCATGCGTTTATGTGCAGAAAAGGTTCCGATGAAAGGATACGAGCATTGCGAGAAGCGTGAGGTATGCACATTAGAATATATAATTGCATAAACATGTTTTTAAGAGATTTTGTTAGACGTTCTGCCCTAAAACTTGGCAAATGGGTGGTGATTAAGCGGATTTCATTCTTGGCTTGTTTAATGTTTTAATACAGTGAGTCTGAAGACTTGTGCTGTCACTGACCTTTCTACATGTAAACAAGTTTTTCAGCTGTCCTTTTTTTCGCGCCCTCTCATTCTCCACACACATTTTGACAGTTCACACAACACTTTCACTTTTCTTGAACCGGCACGTGTAAATTCACTCACACATTACTAAAGAGTTGAATACTAAGTATTCACTGTACTAAATATCTTGCTTAAGCTATTCTTGAGGCATTAATGGTAAATTTAATTACAGTAAACTGATGCAAATATGCAATTTCTGCATACTGCATGGACGATTGGACACATACTTTATAAATATCTTTGTAATGCAATTGCAGCATTGGTTTCAGTGCAGGTTGTAATATTAAAAAGGCCACTAGAGGGGGATTGAAATCCAAATCTTTATGTAATGTAGATAAACATTTTCAGCAAATAACTTTTTTTCCCCCTCCACCTTCTGCACATAAATCCATGGTGGTTTACATTGCATTCATACATTTTATTAGTTCATACATTCCCTGGGAATCAAACCCATAATCGTGGCGTTGCCAGCGCCATGTTCTACTGTTTGATCACAAATAAAAAATTTTTTAAAAAGTTACAAAATAAGATATGTCACGTAATGTTCTTACTTGCATTTTAGCCTTAACTATTCACTATTTTGTTCTGAAATTATATCTTTCAGTCAGTAGCCTATCAAGTGTGACAGTGCATAGATTGCTTTAGATGTGAATCATCTATGGGGAAAAAGAATGTGTTTGAAAATAGAAATAGAAGAAAAAAAGTGGCATAATGGGAGTTAGCATTGGCATTTGTTTGCCATTGCCTTGTCTGTCCTTGTACGATATAATAGAAATGGACTCTATGGAAAGGATATAACGAATTACATAATATTACATGGTGAATGTATATTTTGATGACAAATGCATAAACTAAAACAGAAGGGTAATTTTGTGGATAAACGGAATTTAATTTCAAAAGACATCCACCAGTTTACTTTTAAAACCTGATAAATGACATTAACATATCCACAAACTAAATGGACAACAAGACACGGGGCATTGTGGACAATCTGGCCAAGAATGTGAAACGAACGATACACCTTCCCAATGAAACAAAATCAGAACACAGTTCTAGCGACATCTAGTGGTCACTGAGAGAACAACATGCATTTAGAACAGCATGAAATTAAAGCAGTTCAATAAATTTTAATGCTGCTAATGCTGGTACATATATACATCAAAAGGTCCTAAGTGAGCACATCCACAGTCCCAGGACCATAACCACTGCGGTATAGACTGTATGCAGGTATTCGCTCATATCCTCAGTGTCTCTGTACTGAATGGTGAAGGTGAATCATGGTTGTCGCCCTGGTGTTCAGTGGAGTCTGGACGAGGTCTTCTGCTTTGAGCCTCTGTGTCATCTCGGGCCTCCTCATCCTCTGAATCTGTTGTATATTAAAATGTTATATTAGCCTACTTGTTTTCCCTGATCAACAACTACTGTATATGAGCATCACTCAGACCTAGTGTTGTTTGATATACATGGACCTCGACATGGATGTTATTTTGCTCACCATGGCAAAGAAAATCAAGCAATTCTAGGATGAACCGAAGCTCTAGATCCGCCAAGGGCTGTTCAGTGAGATTGCTGTAATCACTCATTTCAAATGACAAATTATTGCCAAATTGGCAATAAAAAACTAATTGAGCTGATCCAGCAACTAATATTCCCACAGTTTATATTCATAACCAAACCTTCTTAAATATCAACATACTGAGACTCTAGTGACAGTTATACACTAATTCTAGTACTACCAAAGCTACAATTATGAGTCCTACTACTGTTAGGTTTTAAATAATAATAATAACAAAAATAATAATTGACAATATTCTCACAGCAAGCAGATACAATAACAGCCATTTAACGATAAATGTAAGAATCATATTTATTAATTTATTTATAATTACTATAATTTTTTTTTTCAATAATGAACTAGACCAATATCTTATGCATTCATTAGTCATCGTTTTATTAGTGTTACTCTGAAGTCATTATAATGTACTTGCGGTCTGGCATATAGTCAATTAATGCAGGCATATCAGTAAATAACATCGTCACATTCATCCATCCAACGCTAGACGGCGCACACGTCTACAAAATGAATCATTGGCTGCCACTGTGTCCTTTAAATGTCAGTAATTAAATTCAATTGTGACGTTAATATGGATCCCTCCGCGCCAAATTATTCTTGAAACCATTAAAACTGCTCAGCTACTTCATGAAGACTTGGGAAACATCATGCCATCTTAATTCCCCCCTTTTCATTGAGATCTTCCAGTATTATGGCCTATTTGTGTTCATTTTGTCATGTGATATTTAATTGTATTTTATATTAAGTAATACTTTTTCATGTTGTTTATTTATATTTACATCAGTTTTATGGAAACATTATATCACATACATTTATATCAATATCTATGTACGTATTCATAATATATTTGTAATTATTTGTTTATTTATGTTTAATATTGATGTTTATTTCATATTTAATTTATTAAGTAATAATGTCCGTATTTATTTTTTACATTATATTAAATGTAATAAGCCTAATAATATGTATGTTACTATGTAATATTTTCCTGTTTTATTTGTACAGCCATGACAATAAAACACTTGGAAAAAAAAAAAAAGAATATTTGAAGAATATTTGCCCAGTTATATCAGCCTGTGTGTATTGTGTGTGTGAGTGTGTGAGTGTGTGAGTGTGTGTGAGTGTGTGTGTGTGTGTGTGCAGGTTTTTCTATACTGGTGGGGACTTAAACCTGAATACACACCAACTCATGGGGACTTGTGTCACCGTGGGGACCTAAATAGAGGTCCCCATGGGTACAAAAGCTTATAAATCATACAGAATTTTTTTTTTTGTGATTGTAAAAAAGCAGAAAGTTTTCTGTGAGGGGTAGGTTTAGGTGTAGTGTTGGTGTAGGGCGATAGAAAATACAGTTTGTACAGTATAAAAACCATTACGACTATGAAGAGTCCCAAGGATAGTGCACCAGACTGTGTGTGTGTGTGTGTGTGTGTGTGTGTGTGTGTGTGTGTGTGTGGGTGTGTGTGTGTGTGTGTTTGT